TTATCAATTTTCAGTCTCTGGATAGGCGTGGTTCACACCATGTGTGACCCCTCCCGTTTTGATATCATCACCCGCGTACGACTAGGCGCCGCTTACAGACCCCTTAAAAAAGGCAAATTTTTCGGCGGAAAAACTGCCTCAGGAAATAGTACTGACAGAGACCTGAAACTTTGCTGGGATACTCTTTGTGTGAGTTAAAGATTTCAAATTCAGTCTCTGGATAGGCGTGGTTCTCATGCACCAACGCATGAAAGTTTTGACGGAAAAATTGCTAGCTCAAAATTACAATCCAGGCTGGAACGCACCAGGCGGGCCGGTGCGATTATGCGTTTTTGCATTTTCGTGCCAAAAAACAAGGAATCAAAGCAGCTAACCCTGTGAAATAGTGGCTTTCGAAGTTCGGAAAGTTAATTGTGTAACTATGTGGTATGTCAGTTGTAGGTGTCGACTTCAGTGACCCGACCAATGGAAAGTTGCTGGTCCGCAAAAAAAGGCCACACAAGAAGAGTTAAGTTTAAAATCTTTTAGTTGTCCATGAGCACGAAACATTCTCTTAAAATTAAGGCCTTCAGCTTTTCCCGTTTCTGAGTTAGCAGTTTTCCCATCAAAATTTTCACGTGTCCGTGCATGAGTACTGGACGGTTTTAAGGAGCTGAATTTAAAATCTTTTAGCCATACATGAGTGGAACACTACCCTAAAGTTTCAGCTTTCTAGCTTTTCCCGTTCCCAGGTTAGTAATTTTCGCGCTAAGATTTTCACATGCTCATACGTGAACTCGGGCGCTTCCGAACATTTGATTTTGCTCATACATAAGTAGGGAACATTCCCTTAAAGTTTCAGCCTTCTAGCTTTTCTGGTTCTCGAGTTGAAAGTGGGTGACAAAAAATGCGAACACACAAACATTCACACACACACAGACAGCCTCTTCCCAATATGCGTTTTTGCAATTTACATATATGCAAAAAGACATAAAGAAAACCCACCTCTCGTCCGCACACACGGCAAACTTGAAGGTGCTAAATCTCAGCATATTCTCTTCACGTAGTCATACGTACTGGAAATTAAGACATCTTGCTGCTCCACAGTTCAACACTACCGTACTAACCGTTGACGGACGCCCGTCTCCTACTACATGTTGCAAATAATCAACAGATTGTCAGCATGTAAGCACATATTAAAACTTCAAGCAACGATCGTTTAAACTATTAAAAATCTGGTTGCTTCAAAAGTATGCATAAAAACGCACGATCGTACCGGAAATTTTGGTGAGCGCTGTTCTTGATTTT